CAATCCTGGCAACGCCGCTTAGCGTGATGTTTTCACACTCGCTTAGCCGAGGCAAACTACCGGAAAATTGGAAGTTGGCTCACATCACACCAATTTTCAAAGGTGGTCGACGCAATGAACATTCAAGTTACCGGCCGGTAGCTCTTCTGTCGTTACCTTCAAAACTCATGGAGTCCCTGATATGCGACGGTTTAAATGACTACCTACTGTCCTTAAATTTCTTCTCACCCCAACAGCATGGTTTCAGGAAGGGTTACTCTTGTATAACCAACCTGCTGACTGCGGTGGACAGATGGACAAGCATCCTCGATCGCAAGGGAAAGGTTGATGTCATTTACCTTGATTTCTCAAAAGCTTTTGATAAGGTTAACCACTTGTGTCTTATCAACAAGCTCAAACGACTAGGTATCAAACCACCTCTAATCGACTGGCTTACTTCATACCTAAAAAATCGACACTTTAAGGTTAGGGTTAATTTCACTTTATCTCAAGCTATGGAATGTCCTAGTGGGGTCCCCCCGGGCTCAGTACTAGGGCCTCTTCTCTTCTTGATCTACATAAATGATCTTCCTCAACAGGTGACGTCAGACTTATTACTTTTTGCCGACGACGTGAAACTTTGGAGAGAGATACGCAACCAAGACGATATACAGGCACTTCAAGAGGATCTGACTCGAATCATAGTTGGGCAGACGATAACGGACTTACCTTTAACACTTCAAAGTGTAAAGTAGTCCATCTGCGACATGTCGCAAACTACAGTTACAACTTAGGAAACTCCTCTCTAGTAGTATCCCAAGTCGAAAAAGATTTAGGAGTCCTGGTGCCCCATGACTTAAGGTCTTACGCTAACTGTGACAAAAATGCCTTCCGAGCAAACATTGCACTGGTAACGTTGAGGCGCATTTTTGGTCAGTTTGACGGAAGAACTTTCCACACAATCTTCAATAGTTTCATCCGTCCCCATTTAGAGTACGGAAACATAATACTCCCCCCCCTCACTCCAAAAGGATAAGGTCACTTTGGAGCGTATCCAACGGCGAGCCACGAAATCAGTTCGAGGACTCAAATCTAAGCCTTACGAAGAACGCCTCCGTTCACTAGACCTTTACCCACTAGAATATAGGCGTCTTAGAGGTGATTTATTAATGGCTTATAGTATTCTTAACACTTCTGGACATCCTCTTAAACAGATTCAGATTCAGATTTGTGTAGTAAGGACAGAAGGCCTACGGCCTATGTTATTCCTTTTCTAGTATGCTTCTGTGAGTGTCCAGTCTTCTCTTGAAAGAGTCAATTGAAGGTGCGGATACCACTGCTTCAGGCAGCAGGTTCCAAGTATTGATGACTCGGTGTGAAAACCTGTATGCCAGGGGTATTTTCTTCGTTCTTGGCTTTTCTACTCGCCTGCTATGTCCTCTGAGGTGTCCCGATCTAGTGGGAAGGAAGAGAGAGAATAAGTTAGGTCCGAAATCATTTCTTAGTATTCTGTACATCAATATTAGATCTCCCCTTAGTCTGCGATAGGACAGAGTAAAGAGGTTCAGTTTTTCAAGCCGCTCTTCATATGATAAACCCCGGAGTTCCGGAATCGCACGCGTAGCTGCCCTCTGTACCTTTTCTAGTATGTCTGAGTCACCTTTTAAACAGGGGCTTGCAGCCTGAACACAGTTCTCTAACTTAGTTCTCACTAAGGATGTGTATAATGTGGTGAACATGGTAGTATCAAGCTTAATGAATGTCCTTTTTAAAGCCCAGAGGGTTCGAAACCCCTTAACTGCGACCTCCCGGCAATGGGCCGTCGTCTTAAGATCATTGCTCACTGTCACCCCTAGGTCCTTATGAGACCGGACTATGGGTAATGACACATCCCCTATGTTGTACGTATTAACCTTTGAATCCCCCAAGTGCATGTAGACACACTTTTCCGAGTTGATAGGCATTAGCCACTCTTTAGACCAGTTTATCATATTATTTAAGTCCGCCTGAAGAGTAAATGCGTCTGTGTCACCAGTTATTACTCGCCAAATTTTTACATCGTCAGCGTATAATAACATTGGAGACTGTACTATACTTGTAAGATCATTAACGTACATTATAAAAAGTAAAGGACCTAAGACGGAACCTTGGGGTACTCCACTAAGTACTGGTCTCCAGATGGAGCACTTGGAATTTATTCTTACTTTTTGCCTACGACCTACTAGGAAATCCTTAATCCATTTTAAAAGAGGTCCGGCAATACCAAGGTTTGCCAACTTCAATAGCAGTCTATTAGTTGGCACCTTGTCAAAAGCCTTACTGAAGTCTATGTAGACAACATCCACTGAGTTTCCGTTGTCTAGCGCATTAATCCAGAGCTCCCTAGCTATAAGGAGGTTCGTTGTACAGGATAGACCCTTTCTAAAACCATGTTGTGCCATGTTCAGCAAGTTATTGGTTTCCATAAATGCCGTTATGGTCCGTTTGATTATCCCTTCCAGTATTTTAATTACAACACTGGTGAGGCTTACGGGTCTGTAATTTGATGGAACTTGTCGTAGACCAGTTTTATGTATGGGAGTGACGATTGCGTCCTTCCAGTCCATAGGTAACACACCTTGGTCAAGTGACATTTTGAATATCACAGTCAGTGGGGCTGCGATATATTGGGCAATATGTCTCAAGATTTTAGGGTGTAGTTCATCTGGTCCTGTTGACTTCTCCATGTTTAGGGTGCTAAGAGCCTTAAGCACATCGTTTTGGTCGAAGTCCACGGTGAGCAGCTGGTTTGTTGACTCTGTAATTGGGTCTGGTTCTTTCTCTAGAGGAGGTTCCTGAGTGAAAACTGCCCCAAAGTAGTCAGCCATAATCTCAGCTTTTTCCTGATCTTCCTCTATCATTTCAGATTTACTTCCTACTTTAATTAGGTTGGGAATCCAGTGATGAGTCCTTGTTCTGTAGTTTATGTACGAGAATATCCTCTTGGGCTGCTTGAGTGCAGATTCTGCCAGCTGCATTTCGTATTTTCTTTGCGCTTCCCGAATTTTAGTTATACACACGTTTCTTATCGATCTGTAGCGTTCCATCGTACCTGCTGTGCCAAGGAGTATGGCAACATCCCAGCATTTCTTCTTTTGTCTTAGTAAGCGTCGAATATCCCGCCCTAACCAGGGATGTCCGTGCTTCTTTTTCTTTGGGACAGTCCAGGGTATATATGGTTGAGTTACCCGATTGTATAACTGTCTGAATAGAGTCCATGCCTCTTGTATTGATGCCTTTGAGTCAATTTCCCAGTTCTCAGCCGATGCTGCGGAGTTAATTGCCTGCATATCTGCCTTCCATATGTTAGGACGGGCCGGCGCAATTGTTTGACAAGCAATCTCAGCCATGAATTTGAATAAGATGACTGCATGGTCACTTCTCCCAAGTGGTGGGAGAAAAGCCTTTTGACCAACGTCATCACCGTGTGTAAAGACTAAGTCTAAAAGAGAAGAAGAGTTTCTTAAGTCGTACCTTGTGGGATCTCTAATGTGTTGGAATAATGCTAGTCCAATCGAGGTTTCTAACAGTTTGGAGTCGAACGACGATATAGATGACTCTACTTCTAAGTTAACCCAGTTTATATATGGTGCATTAAAGTCGCCTACTACAAGGCTTTTACCGTTGTTACACCAGGACTTAAGTTTACTGAGGAGAAAATCATCTGCTACACATTCGGGACTGCGATAAACTACAACTAATTCAATATCTTGCCTTCGGCATTTCAACTTACATCTCACCAGTTCACATGTCCCTGAAACATGTGCTACTGTCTCAGCTAATCTTATGGTTAGGCTACTTTTCGTGTACACAATAACCCCGCCTCCCCTTCGGTTTAATCTATCAGCCCTACTGGTTATGAAACCAGCCAATTGGATTTCACTATCTAATACTTCTGACGTTAACCAAGTTTCCGAGACAGCGATAACGTCCGGTTTTTCTTTATCCACCACTGACTTCAGCTCCGCCATTTTATTTAGTAGGCTGCGAGCATTTGTGTAGCACACTTTTAAGTCTGTGGAGAGCTTTCCCTTGCCACCCAGAGTGGCTTGGGGATCGTTTTGCTCCGAACTTTTACAATCTGAAAACCCTTAAGAACGAGGTTTCTTTCACCATTTCGGCGACGCTCGTTTATTTCCGCTTCTGCAGCCCTTCTCTTAATACGATCAGCTAGGCTGAGGTCCTCACGGACATATATTCCGGACCCAATCAGTTTACGTGAATTACTTAGAATCAGGTTCCTTTCTTCCACCGTGTTGAATGTAACTTTTAGGAGGCGGTTTTTCTGAGGACTTTCGGAATCCACCTACTTAAGCTTAGTTCGAACAATAACCTAAGGGGTAACACCCAGAAACTGGAAACACAACATAGCAAGACGGAATGTAGACACAACTTCTACTCCTTAAGAGTTGTCAAAAGCTGGAACTCGCTGCCGGCCGAGCTAGTCCAAGCGACTTCTCAGGAGTCCTTCAAGAGGCAACTTGACCTATTCTTAAGGACCAAGGACAGCATCGCACTATGATTTACCAATTTCTTTTCCTCTTTTATTGTTAACATACCTAGGTTCCTGCCTGGAGGATTTGGTGATCCCCTGCTACTAGACACGGAAGCCTGTTAAGCGAAAGCTTCTTCTATTCCGTCCACAACCATTTGAACCATTTGAATCCAATGTCGCAGACGTACAGAGCTATTTATTTTGGGGATTTACTTACCGCTACAATCTCATTCTTGCGCGATAAATAATCCAGTAGATACAAATTCTACATGTCACTGTAAAGCCTTATGTTATACCATTTGGGTGTCTTAGAAAAGAACTGGAAAGTTTAGTAATCTGTTGGTGGAATAAAAACCTGGATAAGGACTTTTCTCGTGATTGAGGGCAAAGTGTGATTGGAAATTTATCTTCATGGAATTCTGTGAAGAGTGCACATCTACAATGATATTAGATATCGCAGATCAAAGCACCAGACCGAGGCGGCATTTTCAGTTTTCCAGTTTCGGGTGGTTTTAAATTCAGCGTTGTATGTATCGCAAACCGAAATAATGGTCATGTTTACGTTCATGCAGTATTAACAGATGGAATTAAATTCCGCGTTTTTGAGTCGTCTAAGTGTGTCACTGTCAGTAATTACGATTATGTTTTAGTTTATTTAGTCACTGAATTGTAAATATTTTGAGATAATTCAAACAACCAATAAAGGGTGAATAAAGGCGAAGAATGGGGAAACGTGCTAAAATGTCTGCTTTTTTGCCTGTCCGGGGGGAAATAATACGGATTTTTCCCTTAATGTCGCTCTGTCTCTCAAATGTCGCCGAATTATCTACTTTTCGCTTAAATGTAGGACTGAGGTCCTGTTATAGAATTACTTGGAAGCATGTCCACTATGTTGTGACTTTTCTTCCGTTAGAACTGACTGCCGTACATTCGACACTGACATAATGGAGTAGTACCTTCAGATTTTTGTAGTAGGGACAGAAGACCTACGACTTGTGTAATTCCTTTTCTAGTATGCTTCTATAAGTGTCCAGTCTTATCTTGAGCGCGTCAATTAAAGGAGCAGACACCACTGCCTAGGGTAACAGGTTCCAAATAATAATGACTCGGTGTAAAACCTGTATGCCATGGGTATCTTGTTTGTTCTTGGCTTTTCTACTCGCATGCTATGTCCTCTGAGATGTCTCGATCTGGTGGGAAGGAGAAGATAAAATAAGTTAGGTCCAAGATCATTTCTCGGTATTCTGTACATCAAAATTAGATTTCCCCTTAGTCTGCGATAGGACAAACTAAAGAGGTCCAGCTTTTCGAGCCGATCTTTGTATGGTAAACCCTGGAGTTCTGTAATCGCACGGGTAGCTGCCCTCTGTACTTTTCACAGGATATTCAAGTCACCTTTTAAACAGGGGCTTACAGCCTGAACGCAGTTCTCAAGCTTAGTCCTCACTAAGGTTTTGTATACTGTCGTAGAAAACTTTACATATTTCATATAAGCCAGCAAAAGCGACAAGTAACAAATGCGCCTTACATCACGGATTACGATATTGAAAACAAGAATTCTCGCTCCATCTTGCTTGGTTCTCTGGTACAAGGCTTACACTTGTAAGAGTTGAGTTTATTACCACTCATTTTCTCATTGTTTTTCACATGATGATGTTTGTTTGGGATACAGATTTGGATCAGGTTCCAAATTATGTTTATATTTCTGAATTGTTAAGATGTATTACGTTTAGTTTCTTTGTTGTATTAATTGGAAGACCTGTCTGATTTCCGACCATGATTTGTCATCTTAAACTACTTGGTATCATTAGCATGGGTATTTCCGACATTTTAAGATGTTGGTATTTTTTCATACTAATTATTGTGACATAATGTTTTCACATTAAATCGTAAGTCAAGACGGTCTCTTGAAATATATTTGTATCCTTTCTGTTCCTAATATGAGCGTATGCGGTATAATATTTTGTCCACTTACAAAGCACGCTCGAAAAGCTGCAAAAACTTAAATATTACAAAGTTTTACACCTGTAAATGCGCTTTGAAACTACAGCCATATATAATGTGCTTGTCAGGGGCCCCCAAATGCCCTGGTACAGCCGAGAGTGGGGAGAGTTAGCTCTCCCTCTCTAAATGCTTTCAAGTCAGTCAGTCAGTCAGTAAGAACGTAGAACTTCGTACGCATCTTATGACGTTGCTTCACTGCGTTGTGGACCAGATCTTTAGGTCGAGGGCTCCGGGTGTGACCCCCTAAGAAAATCATCTGCTTCGGTCTGGGCACCCGGGCAGTATTTCGGCCCACTCGCAACCCAAGTGACTCGTGTGGTGCATATGTATTAGGTGCCCCCTTGTACCAATATTTGTGTTCAAATAAAATACAGCAGGGTGCTAACTATAGACTTTTTATAAGAAGGATATACGTGTTCAGGTAAGTTACGTAGTTGAATGCAGATTTGGACCGACAATTTATATAGAGAATGGTGTATTAATAACCTTAATCGTGACTTCTCGTTGATAATACAGTAACTATATTTGTGCATCTTTCCGTTCTCTTCGACTGCTGTGAATCGCCCCATAAATTATACCCATTGCCTCGTGCTTACCAAGAGACTATCCAGTTAGTATATTCAGTCAGTCTAAAGTTACTTATCAAGTAGTGAAAAGGTTATTTCAGCAAATAATTGCTTTATGGTGGGCCTGTTTTTTAAGGTGCGTAATCACAAATGATCCAGTTTTAACAAAGTTGTATATATGGTTATAATGCTTCTAATAAACTTTAGAGCTAGTTCTTCTGTGGAGTGGTGGTTTTACTATTCTTCCGTTTAACACTGTAACATCAGATTGAACTTTTTTCCAGTAATTTACTCAGATATGAGCTATGCTTACTCTTCCAGCTCTTATAAATTTTCACTAGATTGGTTAAGTTAAGATTAATCAACCAATCGGATCCTAACATTTCGCTTCTAAAAGTGTTTCAAGTTGGGAATTACAAATTATTGGTCTTTACAAGTGCCAGTTAGACTAGTGGAAATTGTAGTTAGTCGTTTACGATTATTTCCTCATTGATTACTCCAGTTAGTAGGAAATAAGATAAAATCACTTTCGACCAATAGAAAAGAGATCAGTCTATAGTCTCTAAAGGTCGTAAGATCCAGTTATCACCTTTTATTAAGCCTCGAGACACCAACACCCCTTATCTTTATCTTTAATTCAAAAAACAACCTTTGAATTGGGTTGATATGTTTTATGGTTGTATCGGTTTATGAGAACTGTCTAGGTATGCTAATAGTGACATTTTGAGAAGTGTGACCTGTCATCAAAGTTTTTCCCTTCGGGTGGTGTTAGCGAGTAGTGTCCATTAAAGTACCCATATCCAGCCTTGTCCTGGATACAGGTAAAAATTATAGTCATCTTCGCCTTTACAATTTTCCTGTAGTTTTTTTGTACTGAAAGTGCGAATTTTTATCTACATTTTTTCAGAAGTTTCTGAAATGTCTAGTCGGTTATTGACAGGTGGAGAATGCCCCCAGGGTGTTTTGGATGTTGTTGAAGGTGCTATTGGTTATCTTGCCTTATCAGTTGGATATACATCTATTGAGTACGCAGCGTTGAGAGTACTTTCAAATCTTTTCTTTTCTTGTAAGTGTAGTTTCTAACAGTTGGTGAAAATTTCTAACCAATAACTTTTTGAATATGCCACTCATATTTATTTCTCTAGATGACATGTTCCATGTATGTTAGGTTTCAAATCAATGTAACTTCGTCTAATAACTGACGTAGATTTAATGTCTGGATTCATACTTACTTACATATGCCTGTTGCCCTTCGTGGTGGGGCATAGGCCGACCATCAGCATTCTCTATCCAACTCTGTCTTGGGCAATCCTTTCTAATTGACATTCATCCTTTAATATATGTTTCCAATTTTTGACGCAATGTGTACTTTGGTTTTCATCTTTTCCGTTTCCCTTCAGCGTTCCGAGTTAGTGCTTGCCTCATGATACAGTTTGGTGTTTTCTGCAATGTATGTTCTATCCACTCCCCAATTTTCTCTTGAGACGGAAGCTGGTTTGTTCTCTCCCACAGTAGGCTGATGCTGATGGTTTCCGGCCAACGGACATTGAGTATCTAGCGTAGACAACTGTTTATAAATACTTGTCCTTTTTGATTATGATTGTGGTGGTTCTCCACGTTTCAGCTCCATACAGTAGGACTGTTTTGATGTTCGTATTGATGATTGTGACTTTGATGTTGGTTGACAGTTGTTTTGAGTTCCATATGTTGTTCAACTATAGGAATGCTGCCCATACTTTGCCAATCTCTGCCTTTACTTCTGCATCAAAACCTCCTCCTCCGTATTACATTGATCTGCTCACGTACACCATAGTGTCGAAAAAGTTCCCGTGAAGTTTTCTTATCCACACTGTCGAATGCTTTCTCATAATCAACGAAGTTGATGTATAGTGACAAATTCCGTTCAATCAATTGCTCAATGATGCTCCGTAGTGTCGCGATTTAGCTTGTGCACGACTGATCCTGACGGAATCCGGTCTGTTAATCTCAAAGTTAGGCATCTACTGAATTGTTCATCCGGTTCAGCAACACTTTAAAACTTTCCTGATACCGATAATAATGTGATGCCTATGTAGTTCTCACACTTTCTCAGATCTTTCTTTGATATCTTGATGAGGTGTTCTTCTTTCCAGTCCGTCGGCACTTGTTCCTCCGAAATCCTCCTGAATAGAATGTGGAGCATGTGTGGAGTTACTTGTATATCTGACTTCAGAGCTTTAGCTGGTATATTGTCCGGTCCTACTACTTTCTTGCTCTTGGTTTGTCTGATGGCCGTCCTGATTTCTTCCGTCGTTGGTGGAGTGACGTCTATAAGAAGGTCTGTAGGTGCTGCTTCGATATCCGATGCGTGGAGATTGTTTATCCAAGAGTTCCTTGAAGTATTATACCCATTTGTTCCTCTGTTCTTTAATCTCAGTGATTGTCCTACCTTCTTCGTCCTTGACCGGTCTCTTTGGCTTACTGCATTTCTCTGATAGTTTCTTCGTTTTATCATAGAGTTGTCTCATATTTCGTTCTCTTGAAGATTTTTTCCGCTGTTGTTGCTAGGTTCTCCACATATTTCTGCTTATCAGCGCTGATGCTCTTCAATTGCTCGTTTGCTGTTGTATATTCAGCTTCTATTTCGACTTTCTCTGTTTTTGGTAAATAAAGAAGAAACGAATCGAGCGAAGAAATTTCTTTTCAATTAGTTTTTCATCATGGCTCTACACTAATATATATACGTTTTACAATAATAATATAATACTCATCGAGTGGATACGTTACGTAATAATTACATAATTACATTTAAATTAACATTAATTAATTGGAAGAAAGAGGATTATTAATATTCAAAGTGATCAAGAAGTTGCTAAGTTGCGTAATGTAAGAAACAAAGAAGGAACAGAATTTTAGCGGATGGTCAATAGGATGGTAGTTACGTAAGAATCAAGAGATGAATGTTGAGAAGTTATTAAGTTCAAAAGCAACAGAAATAAAATTACAAAAGTTTTAAAAAAAAAGGAAGAAGTATGAAAAATAGTTCTTTTGAAGGAAATCTTAAACTGATGGCCAGAGCAGGGAAAGTGGTTGTACGAATCTCTTTTGAATGCAAAGGTCAGGTTTGTGAACATGGATTGCGATGGCTTCCGCAATGTGCAAGAGGCGCACTCGTAAACCATGTGGCAAATTAGATGGGATATTGTAGATAGCCTTAAAAGCTTTATTCAATTCGACTTGATGACCTGTGTCAACCAAGTGAGAGAGAATAGAACTTTTAATCACTTTTACCTGTCCTTTGTTTAACCACGACGGATGATGTTCAGTAATGCGATGACGGACTTGCCGAATTGTACGCCCAATATAACTGGCTCCACAGGAGCAGTTGAAACGATAGATACACATAGATTTGGCGAATTCAGGTAGTCTGTCTTTGTTGGCTGTTCTTATCTTGTTAATTGCTGCCTTCTTGTTCTCCCTTTCTTGAATCTTGTCTAGGGTTTCAGTAGAGATCCATTTCTTATGATGGTGCTTCTTGAGGCCCAGCACCTGTCATTTTGTAGTTAGTGCTGCTTTGATATTTTTCTAATTATCCTCCATCGTAGTTCCTTCTTCTTTCAATAGATCCTGTAAGGCTTGGAACCTGTTTTTGAGTTATCTTGAATTGGTTGAGTTTGTTAATATCTCGTAGGAAGGCTGTATTGAACCTTTGTAGTGCTGTTTGTCCAGTTGTCCAGTTCTTCTTTTTAGCTTCAGATTCATCTTGGCCACAGCTGGTTAGTGATCTGAAGCTGTGTCAACCTCTCTCCTGGTCCTCATGTCTTCCATTGTCCTTCGGAATTTTTTATTGATACAAATATGATCTATCTGGCTCTCTGTGGTGTGATCCGGTGAGACCCACGTAACTTTGTGTATGCGTTTATGTGGGAATATTGTGCCGCCTATGACCAATTTGTTGAATGCACACAAATTTGCAAATCTTTCCCCATTTTCGTTTCTCTCTCCCAGTCCATGTCGTCCCATGATATTTTCATATCCGGTGTTATCTATTCCGACTTTGGCGTGTAGGTCTCTCATCAAGATGATGAGATACTTTCTTGGGCATTTTGCTATGATTGATTGCAGCCTCTCATAGAACTGATCTTTATGGTCGTCGTTGCTTTTATTGGTGGGTGCATAACACTGGGTAACATTAATCGTGATTCCCTCCTTTTTTGAATGATGCTTTGATGATTTTGGATCCGTGAGATTCCCATCCTACAATTGCATTTCATGCTTCTTTGGACACATTAGAGCAACTCCCTGAGTGTGTGGGGCATTTTCCTCTTCATGATTGGGGTATAGCAGCATCCCTCCCGTATCTAGCCTCTGTTGTCCAGCTTGGGTCCAATGGGTTTCGCTGATTCCCAGTACTACCAAGTTGTATCTCCTCATTTCTGTTGCTATTTGACTGGTCTTCCTGGTCTCCCACATTGTCCGGATGTTCGATGTGCCTATGTCAATTGTTGCTCTGGTTGTTAGAAGGGGCATCGCCCTCGTGAATTCGGAGGAATCTCGACTTTCATCATGAGGCGTCATAATTCTTCCTTGAACTCCCATGGCAGAGTTTAAATTGTTTAATTTTTTTATTTTGGTTGGCGTGTTTTTTTATCGAGTTAGTTTTCTGTGGGATGGGGTTGGTGAATCCATGCTCAACCTTCCTCCTGCACTCGGGCTTGAGACCGTCAATAACTCTAGAAGGGCTACAGGTGAAGTTCTGTATTCTTACTTTTAATATATTTACTTCAATTATATGTTGTACCCGTGTCTATAATCCAAATTGTTGAAGTAAAATATGCTTTCGTTGTATGTCTGTTAAGTTAGTTACATGAATTAAAGATACTCTTACAATCTTTTTTATGACTAAATGTACGTACAATAATGGGAAAAGGTGAAATTGTAATGATGATAAATTATCGACGTGATTAGGAATAGAATAATAAGACTTTCTGTTTTCATGAAAGATAGGTGAATACCATCGATCTTAGTCCTTTTTCTAGCAATAACATGATTTTGCAGAAATCATTACCAGTAAGCTTACATTGTCGACACACTGAACAACTGGTCACCTATGTCATGTTTTAGTGTAATAACTTTCTTCAGTCTTCATTATTAGAAGACATGTAATATCACGGCAACTTGAGACTAATTAATTATTATACACATTTTCAGGTTTCGTATTATGTATAAGATGTTTTTCATTTACGACGTAAATACTATTAACATAGATTTCAAAATGATTTTGATTTCAATTGTTTATAATTACAATGTTAATAAATCTGTTTCTAGTCTTGAAGTCTCATGTCTGAAGTAATTACATCTCCCAGTACCGAAATCACGATATTAAAAAGACATCTAAAAGTCTTTGTTAAGAATATAATTTGTGACTGTACATGGAATAGTTCTTCATTGTACATTTTTAATAACACTTCTAGTATATTTATACAGTGACTCATTAATTGAATATTTATGTTCGAAATATCTGAGCAAATATTAGTAAATAAATAAACGATCTGAAACTATATAAGTCAAGATGAAGAACAGTAAAATAAATAGTGCGATGAAAAGTAAGGTTAATAGTTGGTTTTAAAAAATTAGCAAAACAGGTAGACAGAAGTATTTCCTAAAGTTTATATATATAATGTATATTATTAATTTACTTCATAGTGACCTCATTCTCTACATATTTACTTTCTGTAGTTACAGAAGACCTAGCTGTTTCCTCACTAATGAATGCTGAAAGCAGTGGGAGAACTTCAATTCTTTTGAGCGATATTGTACTTGGGTTAATAGATTTGGGATTTGATGTCTCAGGTCTTAATGAAATCCCCCGTAAACGCATGTACAGAGGATGTAAAGAACGTATGTTGACAATTTTTTTCACCTTCTTGTAAAGTCAGTTCCCGTAGCTTTGAAGTTTATCACTGTGAGTAGCCTTGTTTTTCAGATACTTATGGAGGACATCATTTGTCGTTAGTTGTCTGTAGTCTAAAATCACTAGTGAGTATCAAAAGCAGTTTACTGTTAAACTTATATTTGTAAGCATAGTATGCATTGATATCGAAAATGTAGCACATAAACGTGGTATTTTACTGTTGACTGGAAATATCTAAAGTATATATCTGGGGAGTAGCCCCCTAAGATAACCACCTGCTTCGGTTTGGGCACCCGGGCAGTATCACAGCCCACACACAAATGATGAACTCTCTATGTCTATGGGAACTACTTTTCTCGCTTCGAAAAACAATCAATTGATTCAAATTATTGTCATTACTATTATTGTCATTATTATTATTATTATTATTATTATTATTATTATTATTATTATTATTATTATTATTATTATTTTCCACATTATTCACCCTCTTTTATATTTATACAACGGCTCGTCTTTGGTGGAAATCCGACTGTATCTAAACGTTCTCAAGTCACTGTCCGGTTGAAAATTACATGTTTCCACTGAATATGAGTACTGAAGCAGTTTTTCTGAAACCACGTACGCCATTCAAACTGGCTGCCTTCAACGTTCGCACACTTATGCAGGTTGGACAACAGATAGGGCTGGTTATGTCTTTGGAAAGTTTTAATATAGGCGTCTGTTGTCTATCCGAGACCCGTATTCAAGACTCTGGTGAAGTACTACAAATTCGCTCTCCATCTGTCGCTTCAAAAAGCTTGTTTTACGTGCGCTTATCCGGGGACCCTGTGGCATCTTCGTCTGGTCTTGCTGGCGTTGGTGTCGCACTGAACGCTAGAGCTGAGGCAGCACTAATCGACTGGATCCCCATTAACAGTCGGTTATGTGCTGTTAGATTAGAAAGTTCCATCAAAGTGAGAAAAAATCGGTGTGAGAAACGATGTCTTTTCGTCATCTCCGCCCGTGCTCCGACAGATTCTAGCCCGGATGCAATCAATGATGAGTTTTACCACCAGTTATCTGTTCTTTTCCAGAAAGTGCGTTCGACAGATATTGTAGTACTAGCCGGAGACTTGAATGCTCAGGTCGGGCGTCTAGGCATAGAAGAGAGTCGTTTAGGTGGCCGATGGGAACTCGTTGGTCGCAGGTCAGATAACGGGGACCGTCTACTGCAACTTTGCGCAGACTACAACCTGTTTCTGGCTAGCACTAACATTCGGCACAGTCATCGCCGATGTGCCACCTGGCGTCCTCCCTCTGCATCTCAAGCCTGAACTCAGATTGATCACATCGCGATCAGCTACCGCTGGCGTGGTTGTGTACAAGACTGCCGCTCGTTTTGGAGTACCTATCTGCACTCTGACCATGCCTTGGTCTGCGCCAATCTTGCCTTACTTTTCAGTGGACAACGAAGTGACCGCCATCAACGGATTGATATTAGCAAGCTGGTTGCAACTTCTGTTGCAAGTAAGTATCGAATCGAGCTAGCTTCTAGGCTAGCTATCATTCCACCGAAAAGTATAGATGAGCATTGGTTGCAATTGCATGACGCCATGAAAATGGCGGGTACAGTCGGTTGTGGGTTCGCGAAACGTCCCGCTTATAAGCACTGGGTTTCTGCAGGTTCCTTACAACTCATTGAAGCCTGTCGGTCTACTCAGGGTGACCGTGAGTTTGACCACAAACGAAGGATGTTGCGTAATGAAATTGGGCAACGCTTGCGTAAGCACTAAGAAGCCTGGTGGTCGGAGCGTGCTAATGAGCTGGAAGCAGCAGCTGCATCTGGTAACTACTGAAAGCTCTTCCAACTCATCCGAGCCACTGGCAGCAAGAAGTCTGGCGTGAGTGAAACAATCTGCGAGGATGATGGGATGCCAATCACTAACATCCATCGACGTCTTGGACGATGGGCAGAGTTCTTTGAAGGGCAGTTCAACTGGCCTGCTGCTCCGGCAACATCGGTCAAACTGTCCTGCCCTCCATGGCCGGTGACGACTGGTCCACCAATTGAGGCGGAAGTCTGCAAGGAACTCCAACTCTTGAAGCGCTACAAATCACCAGGCCGAGATGACTTACCTCCGGTCCTTTTTAAAGATGGTGGTGACTTTTTGACTAAGGAGCTGACTGTGTTGTTTACAAAGGTCTGGGAACTAGAGAGTGTTCCAACGTCCTGGAATGAGTCGATAGTTGTCCCTATCTTTAAAAAGGGTTCACGTCCTTACTGTAACAACTATCGAGGGATAAGTCTACTTCCGATTGCGTCCAAGCTATTGGCTTCCGTCATACTTCGTAGGTTGTTCAAAACCCGAGAGAGATTGACTCGCGAGGAGCAGTCTGGGTTTCGTTCTGGTGGTTAGGCAGGGTTGCCCGATCTCACCATTCCTCTTCAGCTTCGCCATCGACGACATTCTGGAAACAGGTCTGATGGATGTAAGTAATGGTGGTGTGGATCTGTTGCCCGGAGAAAGACTTCTCAACCTTGAGTATGCGGATGATATTGTCTTACTGTACGATAATGCCCAAGCCATGCAATCCGCACTTAATCAGTTGGCAATCAATGTCCGTAGGTACGGTATGTGCTTTGCACCTTCGAAGTGCAAAGTACTTCTACAAGACTTGCGGGATCCTAATCGTGTACTCATCCTGGATGGTGAGCAGACAGAAGTAGTCGAGAAGTTCGTGTATCTGGGTAGCTATATAAGTGCTGGTGGGGGTGTGAGTGGTGAGGTCAATGCACGTATAGTGAAAGCCAAAGCGGCTTATGCCAATCTGGGCCACCTTTGGCGCCTACGTGATGTTAGTCTGGCTGTAAAGGGTCGGATCTACAACGCGTCGGTGAGAGCAGTTTTGCTCTATGCTTGTGAAACCTGGCCTCTCCGAGTTGATGATGTTAGACGACTCTCTGTGTTTGATCATCGTTGTCTCCGAAGGATTGCTGACATCTAGTGGCAACACCATGTCAGTAATGCAGAGGTTCGGCATCGTGTGCTCGGGCACAGAGACTATAACTCAATTGGTGTCACCATCTTGAAACATCGACTTCGGTGGCTTGAACATGTTCTGTGAATGTCGTCCCAGAAAATTCCACTTCGTGCATTATTTGCCGACTCTGGGAGTGGTTGGAGAAAGCGGAGAGGTGGTCAGTATATGACATGGTGTCGTGACATGAAAGGAAGCTGCGAAGGACTGGCTTCTGTTGGTCCTTCACGACTCCCTGGTTGGGGTCTGAGAGATGGTGCTGCACAATGGCTAGAGACGTTATCAGATATGGCTCAGAATAGAAGCCAGTGGCGATCCTGCTGTAACCTTCTTTTACTTTCTTCATAAAAAGTGGTTGTGTCTCCCTTACCTGAAAGATTTCTTCCGGTTGTACCTTTCCGTTCCCTCATTACTACCACACTAACTTACACCAATCTCTTCGTTATTGTTCTTTCTTTTTTGCGCTCCTTAGCTTTTTTTTCTATTTCTCTTCGACTTTTCATTGTTTTGTGTGGCGCATATATATTGGCGCTCTCTTGTACCAATATTCATGTGTTCAAATAAATAAATATATCTGATGTAATTCAGGTTGAATGCAGTATCATAATTAATTATTGACAATTGTCCTTGTAAAGTCTAACGAGACTACCTGACTGCTTAAATTGAAGTAAGCGTGGAGGGATTCAAGTGTTTTAATTGCTAATCCATTCACTATATATTTTGGTCAAGTTGTACATTTATCTCTCTTTTTGGGACGAGTAGTTTTATAACTATTAAGAAGTTAGTGGAATATCTGATTCCTCTCTTACAAAACGTAAAAAAATAAGAATATATGTTTTGTTGTAGAAAAACTTAATGTCAAATTATTATTTCTTGTCTATGATATTTTTATTACTGTTATATAACCTGAAGTGTCTTTTGCGCTTAGCGGAATATTTTAAAGCTAAAGACTATTCATATACAACCTTTTTCTGTCTAGTCATTCAAATTCGTAATAGATTGACATGCTCAGACAGTTCTCAAAAACATTTGGAGGATAAAACAGTCTCATCGGTGAAAAAATTATGTATAAAATATTAATTATTTCATAAAATAGTCAAGAAATGGTGGTTCATATAACACCAAATATTAAGTTGAAATATCACTACCATGAGATGATGGAGATTTGTAGCTCAGGTGGATGATTTAGTTGGAGTTTTGTTCTCTCAACTGGATGGTTTGGTCGTGGAGCTTTTATCGTTATTCTGAACGACATCATCAGCACAAGCTTCAGGTAGAAGTGAAGTGTTCGGATTTCTCCACACATAAATCACAGTTTGTCCTGTAGACCTCGATCTTGGTCGGTTATTGTTGAGCTTTAACCTGTCATTTTTTACCTCGTTATTTTGGTTGTATCTCCCATTGATTTGATTCATGGTCCTATATTTGCCCATAATTTTTCTTATTAGTTGATAGATTGGGTCAATCTCAATGTGTTTGTTCATTGCTGATTGACCTGAGTGCTAAGCTTCTAACAATTCCCTAGTGTTTTTAGAATTGTCTCTATCCAAGATCTCAACATTTTCCCAGTCGAATGTGTCCACAATTGTCCACTTAGATTGATATAGGCGAGGATGTATCATAGCGTTTGATCGCTAATTGATGTTTGTGTAGGCGAAGATGAAGAGGGCGTCCTCTTTGTCCGATGTAGTGTTTTTCGCAGTTGGAAAAATTTATTTTATAAATGGTGCTTGCTTTTTCTTTTGTCATTTCGTCCTTTGGTTTGTATAGGATTGGCCAAAGTGATTTTGTCGGCTTGTGTGTTACACCTACTCCAAAAGGCTTTAACAGTCTCATTTTAATTTCTGATATGCCTTTAACATATGCTAGGATGATCCGTTTGTTGGTTTCTGTACTTGATTTTGTTTCTGCTTACGCGTTCGAATAGTAATTTTTGATAAAGTTGATCGGTAGCCGTTCGTTTGAA